CGAAATGTCATGAAACTTCATACATAAACTAGTGACAGATGAGCCTCTCGAAATGAGTCATGTTCATTTTCTAGTGGCGCCACCTATTGAAAAATCCTGGGATTTTTCAGCCCATGTAGTAGCATCAATAACACACGAAAATCATCAATTTATAAAAAATAACTTGAATCTGAACCTTTCAGGATTTGTGTAGCGCAAAAATTAGCCATAGGAGAATGTCAATCCCATAGAAACATTTGTTTAGAATGATGAGAACTACAACATATCCAAAATTTATTCAAGTAGACAAAAAAGACAATTTCTATAAAATTGGTATAGGTCGGGTCCTTTCTGTCATTATTCTTCCTTTTTGCAAAATATTTATTTAATCATTTCGAAAGTGAAAGTAATTGTTTTTTAATTTTCACAGTCGTATGTCATGATATCATAATTGCCATTTACGTCAAATATATCCGGATACACACGACATACGACATACGACATTCATGATTTAACGAGTTAATTCACCGGACGCAGGGGCGCTGACTTGTCAATTTGTTATATGTGTGGAGTTGAACAACGTGACGGAAAGGGGTAGGGCACAACAAAATTTTCACTATTACTTTCAAGATATCTTTGTAGACTTCTTTATAGACTTTTATATAAGAATATAACAAAATAAAGAACAACGAAATTCTTTTAATAAATTCTTATAAATATTTTCGTTTAATTAGTTGAAACACTTAGAGTAATTGTTGAAAACTCCGAATATTATTTTTTATAATGAATTTATTCATAAGTGCATCAATATCTACAGTCTCAGCAATATCAGAGTGCACATACAATATAATTACTAAATTCAACCGAACTTGCTGCATTGTCGTAGAACGCAAATACGTTTTCAACTTTTTCAAAGCAGAAGAAAATATTATTGGACATGTTGTAGTTCTTATCAATACTAATTATTTAAAAAAAATAGTTCATATATAAAATTCCATACATAAAAAATTCTGATATACTCCACATATTTCCCACAAGAGTCGGCGCCCATGATCGGACAAGTGCACTTTGTGCTTGTACGACACTTTTATACTATTTTCGAAAATCGCAATGTTATTTAATACCGTGTTACCCTAGTAAAAAAATCTCATATCTTATATTTTTATTCATTAATAATTTTTCATACTTAAATTTATGAAAATATCTAAAAAGTACCTTCAATTTCTTCAGATTTTGTAAATTTTCTTTAAAAATTATACAAGAAGTTTATATATTTAAAATAATTAAAATTCATTGAGAAATTTCTAACAGTGTATTTACAATTAGTGCAAGATTATATGATTTTATTTTTTTGTCATATGTATCAATAAAATTAATAAATATATATATTTTTCATATTTAAATCGTGCAAATTCAGCACACTTTATCCGAGAGATATCCTGCGATCGTCCATAGGATGACTTTAGGACATCTCTTGGAGGTCTGCGCTGTATGGGAAGTAATAGAATTATCCCAAGGATTACGGATGAACATCTTTAGGGCTTCGAATTTCGTAGTTCTGTAGTTGTAATGACGTGCTCATTTGATAGTCCTCAGGACGTCCCTGGACTATAACAGATGATATCCTAAGGATGTTCCGTTTAGCTGGCGGAACGCCCCTGTGTTATTAGGGAAGTCAAAGTGTTAATAGATGCTATGCGATTCGAATCGATGTTAAAGGTGAAAAACAGTATCTTATCGGTGATAATAATCATGTCATTAACCTTATTATTAAGAAGGCGATAGTCTTTCGCGTCAAGAAGGTATACGTTAATGAAAGTAGCTACCTATAGTTGCAATGACATCTATAAAGGATATGTTTCACTTAACGTTCGCGAACATCATTTTACTCTTTAACATTTCAAAACAATAAGAATGAAATGGTAACGAGCGTTGCGAACGCTGAGTGGAACGTATCTAAAATAGCACTACAGACCAGCTTGTTTAAATTATCTGTCTTTATTTTCTTTTTATAGTAAGTTGTGGCGCCCTTAGCGTTTCGACGTCTTAGGAAGCTTTAATCCTAAAAACTCATAAGGCCTATTTTTTATTCTTACATTAGTTCAATAAGTTAAAGTGAAGCAAATATTCCTTAATTTTATTTCAACTTATTGCACCGTGTGTACCAGTTTAGAAAGTGCAAAAATAAAAAACAAATATACAGGGTGTTTAAAAATAATGATAAATCTTTCGCATAGAGGCAGAATGGACTAAACTGAAGAAAAATCCTTTACTATTTCCTATTTTTTTCTTCCAATGTTACAGCTTATGTCAAGAACTTTTCAAAACATTGCAATTAAATAATATTCTTGAGGCTTTCACGGATGTTTCCTATATGACAATCTTGTGTTTCGCGGGTTTTCTCCGTGTTCAAATCCATTCTTGGAATGCCAAGCTTGGATTCCAAGAATGGATTTGAACACGGAGAAAACCCGCGAAACACAAGATTGTCATATAAGATATTAATTGCTAAAAATTGCCGAAAATTGATCTTCAATAATTTTTTACTCAAATACTATCAACTTTACAGAAAAACAAAATTTGTTTATTTTCTTCTCGTAGAGTTCTAAGAATTTTTTTAGAATTTTTTCAGAATTTTTTAATACCGTATTTTCTCATGTTGGTAAAAATGAGAAAATGCAGTACTAAAAAGTTGATAAAAAATTCTGAAAAAATTCGTAGAGTTCTATGAGAAGAAAATAAACAATTTTCGTCTTTTGCAGTTTTTCTGTAAAGTTGACAGTATTTATTTTAAGTAAAAAATGATTGAAGACCAATTTTCGGCAATTTTTAGCAATTAATATCTTGTTAACTATTGCGAAAATTGCAAAATGATAGAGGACTTTTCTTCTCAGTTTAGTCCATTCTGTCTCCATGCGAAAGATTTATCATTATTTTCCAAACACCTTGTATAAACATCCTGTATACTGCTTCTATACTATAAAATTTTTTATTTTATTTGTTTTAAGATCAAAACATTCTGTTAAGACGATATATACTGATATGTTAATGCTGCTAAGCTAGAATAATATGGAATATCCCAATAAATAGTTACCATAAAAAAATATTTTATCAGACATTTCATATCATTATATGAAGTAATCAACCAAATATCGTCTGATAATTATTTACACGCTTAACTTCAAAGTTGAACTGAAATATTTCGTCTTATTTGTAATTCCTCTAGTTATTTACAATTGAAAAATATAAGAATTAGATTTTCTATAATAATTATTAACAAGATTATAAAATTTTAATTGTTATTAGAATCACAATCGATAAATTAGAAGCCTATATAGGTCAAAGCTGGATCTTTAATGCTTTAAATAATTCAATGTGAATTATATATATATATACAGGGTGGACCATCTGAAGTGATCCAGTCAAATATCTCGAAAACTAGTAGGGATAGAGAAAAATGTTTCGTATGAAAAGTTTAGGGTTACACGGGGGAAGTATGGTACTGACCTTGAAAAATCCTTGGAAGGTCATTTTGAAGGTCATTCAGGGGTCACGATGGTTTTTTTAAATGGAACCCCTAGTTTTTCACCATGGGATGAGAAAGCTGGTTTCAAGCCCTTTACGAAACACTGGTTGTGGTCCACAATCCGCCCACTGGGGTCCGAGTTATGGACCATCAAAGTCATTGATGAACTACTCTTAGCGCTACCCAGGAACAACGACGTGGACGTGGTAGTTCTCTGTTCCCTTCGAGGTGCTTGATTTTTGTGAGTCCCCTTGCCTCTCAACATTTCCAAACGCAGCCTAAGAATATATAAATTACAAAGATATGACATATATTATTTCAAATTAATCTTTTTTAATTTCATTATGTAATAATAAGACAATAACATATTTTTCGCTTCCATAATATGATATTCTATATATTTTCCTTTTATTTTAGACAACAATCACATATATACACACGCATATATATACTTCATACAATATACAATATATACAATATATTGCATATTTATACAATTACATATATATACACGCATTATGATATTTCGTAGAGTTCTTTGGATATCCCATGAACATCGTTTAAAATCTCCGTGGGATCTCACACATACGGACACTTATACATCCCCTGGATATCCGTTGGATAACTAAGACCATTCACAGATATCACACGATTATCGTGATATTTCAAAATGACATCCGTTGGATGTCCCTAGGATAAAGTATACTATGTGGGATATTTATAGTCATTCGAACTGCGCGCTGAATTGGTTTTCCGGATTTATCAACGCAATTAAACTACTGTAATAATATCACAAATTAAATTAAATTGATACACAATTTTTAATAATTCAATGCTCAATCAGGCATCATATTAGAAAAATGTTAACATGCTGAAAAATTGTAAATAAATTTATTGCGAAAAATATTACCTCGGCCGAGAGTCCAACCCGGATCTCTTGTATTCCGTACGATTGAGCATCGAATTATTAAAAATTACTTTAATTTAATTTAATTTGTGATATTATTACAATAGTTTAATTACGTTTATAAGTTCAGAAAACCAATTCAGCGCGCAGTTCGAATGACTACAAATATGGTATATGTATATGCATACAGTATATATATATGTATATATATATATATATAATTCACATTGAATTATTTAAAGCATTAAAGATCCAGCTTTAATTAGTATAAGCTTCTAATTTATCAATTGTGTTTCTCACATTTACGGTCTAAAATAAGATTCTTATTGTTATTAGAATCTTGGTAGCAGCAGTTGTAACTCTAGTGGCAGCCAAACCAACGATCGAAGACACAGTAGATATCAGCAAAAATCACGAAACTACCGACGATCTTCTGAAAAGCGCTCACGAACTCTTGAAACGAACCGACGCAGAGTATGCAAAATGGGATAATAAACAGAGTATCACCGCATGGAATTACGCATCGAATCTAATAAATGAGAATCTGACAGTAACGGTAGAGGGGGCAAACGTTACCAAACATATTATTGAAAGAGTGAAGACCGTACCTTGGAGAGACTTTGACGATGAATCTATGAAGAGACAGTTCTACAAGCTCGGTATACTCGGTGGCGCCGCTCTCTCTGAAGAAGTAAACATATATTGGGTCGGGGAAAGTTTCTTCGTATTTTTTAATTCAAAATTGTGTATACAATATCTTCGTCAAAAATGAACTAAATTTAAATTTAAAAAGAGAGTTTTAAAGCTTGAAATTTCTATTTTCGAAAGGTTACTATATTTTTTTAGTTTCTGTGAGTTTAGTAATTTTTACATTTAAAAAACTACGAGCTGAAAAAGATGAAAAATTTTTTCACTTTGGGAGTCTCTCACGTGTTCAAAAAAAATTTACGAAAATTTTCGACTATCTGTCGTGAAAGCTTGAAGCTTTCCTTACAAAATTATATTTTTTTTAATATTCCTATGATTTTTTATTACTGAGTTATTCGCGAATTAAATAAAGGATCATTCTAACTTTGATTGCTCATAACTCCGATAAAAATCATCATACCGCAATTTAAAAAACAGATTCTTAAAGCTGAAACTTTGCTCTAGCGAATAATATAATTGTAACAAAAATTTCGTAATAAATGAAAAACTTTTGCAAAAAATTTTTTAAAACACGAAGAAACTTTTTCCCCGACCTAATATATAGATATTTATATAATTTTCATTTACTAATGATACATTTTTTGCAAAAAATAGCACAGTAAACAAAATATTATTTTGTATTTGTGCAGTTAAAGTCATTTTTTGTTGTTTTGTGTTGAATTTTTAGCACATTCGAGTATTAATTTAATATTATGTGATTGTATTATTTGAATATTTAGTATTAAATTGATATTCAACATTTCTATTACAAGGGAATACGCTATGTTGCAAGTGATATAAAAAATTAATATTACCGGTCGAAAGATTACGTTTAAAATATGTATTCTAGATGGATTGGTCAAATCTTCACAGGATATCCTATGGATTCTGTGACCAACTTGGACCAAAACATGTTTGGCCATTTTAGTGTCTAAATTAAAATAGCTAAACATATTTCGGTCCAAGTGGGGTACAGAATCCATATAGGATCTCAAGATTTTACCATCTAGAATACTTACATCAAACGTGATCTTTCGACTGGTAATTTTATTTTTTGGTATCACTTATGTAATATAGCCCGTTCTCATATTAATGTTACAATTTATGAGCAAGTAAACATAAAAATTAACATAAAAATAATATATTTTAAATTTTAAGATGAATGAAATGTGTTAAAAAGAATCCCCTAAAGCCGTCTGTATTTCCGACTAAATCGTAATTTTTGTATACCATTACTTTTTTCCTCTTTTACAGATTCGAAAATCCTTTTCCAGGATTGAAGTATATACGTATCTGTGAGGTGGAGTTTATGCCGAGAACGACAAAAAATTTTCTTAAGATTTCAATTTCAAAATTTTTTATCGTTCTCGGCATAAACTTTATCTTACAGACATGTATTAATGCATATACTTCAATCCTGGAAAAGAATTTCCGAATCTGTAAAAGAGGAAAAAATTGTTATACAAAAATTACGATTTAGTCAGCTTTAGGGTTCCCTTAATTTAATATACTATAAATATTGATTTTACTGAAGAAATAACTCCTCTACAATTTGCTTACAAATTGTGGCAGTGTTGTGTGTTAAGGCTCTTGAATACACACAAACGAGTGCTTTCCAATTACTTGACACATCTTGACACAAACGTAGCAAATTAATTCACATATTCTCAGTGTTAATAAATAAATTAAATAATTTTATTCTTTTAAGGTTATGAGGTTATCGTGACAATAAAGAATAAAATATAATTAAAAGGGTTAAATTATATTTATTAACAATGAAAATATATGAATTAACTTGCTACCCGGTAAAAAATTTGTCATGCATGAATATGTACAAATATGTATCAATGTACATAAATATTCGTGAATACATAATTTTATATGAAATATGTCCATACATGTTCATACATCCTTTTTTTTGTAAAACTATTTTTAGTGTAATAGAAATAACAATACAGTAATGTAAAAACATTAAAAATAATTAAAAGAATAATTTTCACACTATTTATTTTAGAAAAAATCAAGTTTGAAGAAATGTGAAAAAATTATTTATGTATAATTATACATAAAATTATGCATAATTGTGTATGAGCAATTTTTTTTAACATTTTTCTGAACTTGTTTTTTTCTAAAACAAACAATGCAAAAATTATCCCTTTAATTATTTTATGTTTCACATTATTATTATTTCTATGACACTAAAAAGTAACATTATAAAAGAAAAAGGGATGTATGAATATGTATGGACATATTTCATATAGGACTATACGTGTTGTGTGTGCGTGCGTGCGCGTGGGCGCGTGCGTGCGTGCGTGCGTGCGCCTGCGCGTGAATATTTATGCATGTCTATACACACATACAGGGTTAGATAAGTTAACTTTTTTTTTAACTAAGTTAAGTTAAAGTTAACAACCTTGAAAACATTTAACTTAGTTAAGGTACAAGTTAATTTATAATAAAATTAATTGAATTAAAAGTTAAGTTAATAAAAAAAAGTAATTGAAAAGTTAAAAGTTAAATTTGTTTTTTTTTATTTT